TGGCAATAGATGTTAGCTCAGAGCTGGTCTTCCTCAGCAAAAAGAGGAGGATTAGCACGGATGTTAGCTCAGGGCTGATCTTCCTCACACACAAAAAAAACACAAGTCTGAAGTGTATTTTTTAACACTTTACAGTCTTTAAAGTTAGAGGCAAAATTTTCTCCAAGAACAATAGCTATTTTCCTCATTGTTGAATTTTTGAAAGGCAATCCTGTTGGTTCGTTTGTAATCTTGTCTTAGCACTAAGTAAAAAGGCAGCAATTCAGAGACAGACACATAAATTTTATTCCAGCTAAATATTTGGAAGCAATGTATTTATTGAAATTACAAAAATTTAAACTCTAATGGCTTCAAATAATAGCTTTCTGAGAAAAACTAACATTAACACCAAAATACAGAAACTATTTCTAAGGTAAGAAAACTTCTATTTTCAATTGGCCTAATACCTTATCAACAAGCAAAGTTATAGATCATTAAAAACTGGTTTTTCTTCTTCTTCAGAAGAAGGGTGGTACTGGGCATCTCCTCGTTACTTTTTCTTTCCTTTCTTTTTTTTCTGTGCGTCAGGGGCTAAGGTCTTCTTTTCGGACTCCGCCTTTAAGGCTGCTTCCTCCTCAGCCATCGCCTCCAGCCTCAGGCGCTCTGCTTGCAGCAACTTGTTTCTGTACTCTTCCCGGATGTTGAAGATCTTCTGCCGGGCTTCATCTAAGGAGTCCTACTCCAAAACAAAACCCCAAGCAAATGAGGTCCTCTAATAAAGACTTATGGTTCCAGAAAAAAAATAAAAGAAGAAAGCAATCCCTTTACCCTTTTCTCATGCCAATAGATTCCCGTGGGAAATTATTGAAGAAAGATGAAAATTGGGTTATGGTCTCAAATGTTCATCCATGCATAAAACATGAGCAAGCAACCAAGTGTACATGAGATTTTAACAGAATGGTAAATAAAAGCTTCAGTAGGAGGAAAACAAAGGGGAAGAAAGAAATAGGCAGAGATTTTGGCAAAGCAACAATCTGCTTTAAATGAGTTTAAATATAGTCTATATGAAACATGCAGCCCAGTGTGTCTCTCACAGTGACTGTGCTCAATAAATTACTGGTTCCCCACGCATATTCTAGCCCAGACAAAATGTATCTGACTTGTATGTAAAGAACAGCCAAATAATATCACCTAATCCACTGGATATCTTTGTTATTATCAGTTTGGCTTTTGTTCTCACTGCTTCAAAAAATCTATATTCATCAAGGACACCATTGACCTCATAGGTATCTAAATCCAGGATCATTTTTTGGTCTTATTCTTACTTACCTGTACTCTCTCCTCTTGGATCAACCAACTTAACTCAGTGTCCTGGGCACCACACCCTCTTGATTTTTCTCCTACTTCACTATCTGCTCCTTATCAGTTGCCTTAACTGATTTCTCCTTCATTTCTTAATTTGGAAGTGACCACGTCTCAGATCTTAGGCCTCTTCCCGTGGTGATCTCATCTTTGGCTTTAAATTCCATTTATACACTGATGGGTCCCCCAATTTTTTATCTCCAGCCCAGATCTCTCTCCCAAATTCCAGAATCACATATGGAACTTCTATTCAACATCTTCACATGACCGTATACTGGATATGTAAAGATGTCCATTTTGATACAATAACTATATCAAAACATGTCCCAAACTGAAATCCTTATCTTCCCTCCCAAACCATCAGATTTGATGGCAGCTCAATCATTTCAGTTGTTTAGGCAAAAAACTTAGAGTATTTCATGACTCTTCTCTGTCTCATATAATAAACCAACAACCCATCAGGAAATCCAGTTGATTCTACTTTGAAAATACATCCGGAATTCAACTGCTTCTCACCACCTCCACCCTACCACTTTGGTGTGAACCACCATCACCACTGCATGCTCAATGCAATGGTCTCGTCACAGAACTCTCGTCTTTTCTATGTGCCTCCTTCTACACTTATCTGTTCTCCACACAATATCCAAAGCAATCCCTTTAAGACGTAAGTCAGATCATGTTGCTCCTCTGCTCATTAGAACCTTGTTATGGTTCCATATTTCCCTCAGAATAAAGCTAAAGTCCTTTCAGTGGCCTTCACAGTCCTAATGATTACCTTCCCCATCCCCTCCCCCCACTTCCTTTCCGGCTTCCTCACACTCACCTACCCCTTGCTCACTCTGCTCCATGGCACAGGTCTCCTTAGTATCCTTCCTCTGATACGTGAATTTTGCTCTTGCCTTAGGGCCTTTGCTCTAGCTAATATCTCCTCTGAATCATTGTGTTCTGATTCTGTTCTACTTTTCTTTTTTTCTCAACATTTATCCCTTTTTCTCATATTATACAATGTATTTATGTATTGTGCTTGTATTTTAGCATCTATTTCCTCACTAGAATGTAAGCTTCATGAAGGCAAGGGTTTATCTCTTTTGTTCATGCTTAGGACAGTCTCTGGTACAAAAAGGCCCAGAAATATATATTGAGTGAATAAATTGTGGAAATGTGAAGTGTCAGAGATTATACACAGGTAAATATAGTTTCTATTTTCAAAAAGAAGAATAATTTTCAATTTTCAAAACTATAGACGAGAACACTTAATGTCAGTTCCAGGCAACATTCTAGAAATGGATTGTGAAATGGCTTCCCTAAAAGTGTTTACAAATAAGGCAGTGATTACCAAGTGCTGATGCAGGTTTACTAAGAGGCCTGTAAATGCAAATCATTGCAATTCTGATACTATGGCCACAATTATGGTTCAATTTGTTGAGTGTTTACTGTTTCAAAAACGGTATAATGAAAAAATAAGAATTAATGAAGTGATGCTGGAAGAGAAGCTTCAGGAAATGACTCTATCGTCTTCATCACTGAATTCTTCAAGAAATTTTCCATGGTTTTGCAACTTGCATGACTTTGGGTTGAGATGATGGAACAGCTGAATGTCAGAATCAGACTTACCAAAGCTTTTGACAAAAGAAGACTGTATCTACCATAACAAAATTGCTTTCACTAAACCAACTGCACAAATACAAGATGACAGTAGGGACATAGAAAAAAAAAGAAAGAGAGAGCCATCTTAAGGGTTTAGTGAAAAGTAGTTTAATATATGTCAGTAATCCCTTATCCCTTATGTAATTTAATATACGTCAGTAATCCCTTATGTTTTCTCCCATTTGATAAGAAATATAATACTGATCATGTTTCTCTTAAGGTAGCTTCAATCAAAATTTTCTCTTGGGGCGGCCCCGTGGCTTAGCGGTTAAGTGTGCGTGCTCTGCTACTGGCGGCCTGGGTTTAGTTCCCGGCGCGCACCCACGCACCGCTTCTCCGGCCATGCTGAGGTCGTGTCCCACGTACAGCAACTAGAAGCACGTGCAACTATGAGGTACAACTATCTACTGGGGCTTTGGGGAAAAAAAAAAGGAGGAGGATTGGCAATAGATGTTAGCTCAGAGCCGGTCTTCCTCAGTAAAAAGGAGGATTAGCATGGATGTTAGCTCAGGGCTGATCTTCCTCACAAAAAAAAAAACAAAAAAAAAAAACAACTTTCTCTTCACGTGCTTATCTGTACCTCACACTTAAAGAATGGGATCTGAATTCAAAACTATCCAAGTTAATATTTCTTCCCTATCTCCTCCCCATCTACTGCATTTGTTCTTGTCTATTAAACACGGAAAACATGACCGGCAATCCTGAAATTCCCTTTTGTGTTATAATATTTTAATTTAAACTATTTTCTACATGATGAATTGAATCTATATAATTTTAAGATTCATCTATTGATTCACTTATGAAACAAATTTCTGTGAGATAGAATCCCTTCTAGGCTCTGGGGATACAACAGTGAATCAAAACAAAGTTCCTGTTCACATACAGTCTATATTCTAGTGGAGATAGATTAAAAATGTATGCATATTTAATAAGCAATATACACACATTTCCATGTTAAACCAATAAATGAATATATATACAGGATAAGTGCTTTTAAGAAAATAATAAAGCCAGGCTTGAGTATACAAATTTTGAAGGGTTCTAATTTGGAAAGGGTAGCTAGAGACGATCTCTCTAATGAAGTGACAATAGATGAGAGAGCTCATAAAGAGAAGCTGTAAACCACTTGGCTCTGTGCAGGAAGGACGTTCCAGGAAGAGCACGATCCACGGCCCACAGGTGGGGACATGCCTGGCTGTTAGTGGAAGGGCAAAGTCAGTTTCCAAAAAAAAAAAAAGAGAAGAGAGGGTAGGATGGTAGAGAAAAAGATGGGAGAGGAAAGTGGGCACTAGATTACGTAGCACTCTAGACATCATAATAAAGACTCTGGCTTTTTTCTTAGTGAAATGTGAAGCCATCAGAGGAGTGAAATGAGCCCACCCTCCATTTTAAGGACGTACTTTGATAACCCTTAGTGCAATTCCTAAAATACTTGGGGTTCTCCTCCGGGCACCTGGTAGCATTGCACTCTGTATTGGTCTGCTAGGGCTGCCATAACCAAGGACGACAAACCGAGAGGCTTAAATAACAGAAATTTATCGTCTCACAGTTCTTGGTGCTAGAAGTTTGAAATCCAGGCGTCAGCAAGGTTGATTCCTTCAGTGAAGTTGTATGTGATTATGTGACTCTCTTTGGCTAATGAAATGTGACTATTAAAGTAAATGTGATGAGGACCCTCTACTGAAGTCACTGGCCATGTAGCTAGAAGGAGCAACACTCTCTTACTGTTTTAATCTAGGATCTGGTACACTAAGGCCTGTGGAACAAATCTGGCTCATTGCCTGTTTCTCTAAATACAGTTTTATTGGAACACATTTAGGTATTATCTTTGACTGATTTGTGTTAACAATGGCAGAGTTGAGTAGGTGCAACATATGGCCAGAAATATTTACTATCTGGCCCTTTACAGAAAACCAGTTTGCCAACCCCTGACATTGGGACTATTTGTAACCACAGGATACAATAGTCTGTCCTGACTCACACAATCACTTTGGCTGCAGAGCAGAGTCCACCTTGTAGGAGGGCAAGAAGGAAGCAGTGAGATGAGTCAGGAGGCTTTAGCGATACTCTGAATGGAAAATAATGACCGTTTGGACTAGATGGTGGGGATACAGAGTGAAAAGTGGTTGAATTTTGGATCTATTTTCAAGGTAATGCTGACAAGTTTTGTTAATGGATGAGAGGTAACGAGTGAGAGAAGTCAAGGATGTTTCCAAGGTTTCTCCTTGAGCAACTGAAAGATTGCAATTGCCCTTTACTGGCATGGAGAATATTGGTGGAGGGTTATGTCTGTGGTGACATGAGAGGGAGAGCAGGAATTACAGAATATGGATTTGGAGAGGTTCAGTTTGATGTACCTATTGGAAAACAAGAAGAGACATCAAAAAGGCGTATTCCTCAGATTGGCCAATACTGGAAATGACAGGGAGAACCCAATATCACTGTGGCTAAAATGTTTAGAAAGTCTTGTAGCCTTTGGTGTCTTTGGAGCATGTGTGAATGTGTGTGTGTGTTGTAGGAAAAAAGGAGAAAAAAATAAATCTTCATCTTCCACAGTGGAAGTCCTTCATATATATTTATCAAATTTCCCCATTTCTAGTACAATACTTCCATTTTTAGTTAAGCTTGATCTTTCACACTACAGAAATCCTTCTTTTTTGGACCATGTCTAAATAAAGCACCTCTAGTCTTCTGCAGGGGTGGAGAAGGGACAGTCAACTGTCTACAAAAAGTTGAGGTGGTGATCAGCAGTTCTAACTGCTTCTTAAATAGTTTTAAACCAAACAAATCCAATGATTTTATCTTCCTCCCCCTGGACCTTCACTTCCTAACATGGTGGGCGTCACCAATTTCAGAGCCCTTTGGGGAATCTGGGGAGCAAACTGAGTTGATTCTTAAGAATTTTTCTACAGCCAGCTTAGGATTTGGCTGCCTCAGGTCTGTTAATGCAATCTTCATCCAGCTTTTTTCCAGCTTCACAAATATTTTGTTGTTATCTTCTCTCCCATTCTTCCCATTTTGTGGATAGATTCCCAATACTGCATTTTAGAGGGACTTTAGAGAGCAAGTAAAATTAGATGTGTATTGTCAATTTGCCATCTTTTCTGAGAAGCTGGGAACTAAATGTTTTCAAGACTTCTTTTTACCCGGTTACTATATGCTTCTATGATATCTTTTTAAAAGGAATTGGTCAACTTGATCTAGGTATGCACCTGAGACTCACCCGCATTTCCCCATACATCTCCAGGACCCGATCCTTCAACTTAAGTCGTTCCTCTCGGTCAATGTCTCTAATGCTAAGGACTCTGGTCCTGTACTGTCGAAACTGATGGACCTCCTCTGCTTTCTGCATTGCCTGCTGCTTGTTCAGTTCCTCTGTTTGCAGCAGGGGCTCAGTTTTTGTTTTCCTTGACATAAAAATATCAAAAGACATACATTAAGTCATTTGGGAACTCTGAAATGGACTTGACTTTAGAACTCAAATAATTTAAAATCATATCAACAGTGTGGTGCTCTGAATGAAATCAAATATTAGGAATAGAAGGAATAAACCATTTTATTTATTTATTTATTTTTAAAGTATTTTTTTTTTTTTTTTAGGAAGATCAGCCCTGAGCTAACATCCATGCTAATCCTCCTCTTATTGCTGAGGAAGACCGGCTCTGAGCTAACACCTATTGCCAATCCTCCTCCTTTTCCCCCCCCCCTTTTTCCCCCAAAGCCCCAGTAGATAGTTGTATGACATAGTTGCACATCCTTCTAGTTGCTGTATGTGGGACGCGGCCACAGCATGGCGGCAGAAGCAGTGCGTTGGTGCGTGCCTGGGATGGAACCCAGGCCGCCAGTAGCAGAGCGCACGCACTTAACCACTAAACCAAGGGGCCGGCCCTAAACCATTATTTTTAGATGGGCTTTGCTCTATCGAATCATGATATTTTAGGAAATTATTTTATGAAAGTATCAGTAAAATTAGATATACCATTTGATGAGGTGTTTGTGGAATGGGTGTTCGAAACTATGGAATATCTTGTAGGTTTTCCTTTTTAATTTATGAAGCTAAACAATTTTGAAAATGTTTTCAAACTTGTAAATATGCTTGAGTAACTATCTCTCTCTATTAATCCTATTGTCTAGCTCTTAAGGAAATTGAATCTAATTAAATAATAGCAGAAAGTATGGTGGGAATTTTCTGTAGCTCAACTCACCTTAATGAGCTTACAAATTAAATCTTTGCAGAAAGCATTTAAATGCTTTTATGATTGACTTCATAAAACATTTGCCAAATTTGAGATGTCAAATCATGTACTTCTAAAAATGTAGATACACTAAAAATATATTAAGCATTTAATTTCAAATTTCAGTTGTTTATCTACTGCCTATTGGCAATATACCCAAAATTCTATGAACACCAATTGTCTGTGTTAATTATGTTTATTAAAACTTACCGTACATATTGAGTTAAGTCTACACATTCTAGCTCTTTTCGAATAAGTCGTGGAGATATTTCCAAAAGTGTTGGGGATCGTGAATGAGGCCCTGTTAAAAAAAAAAAGTCCCAGGCTTTCAAGAAAGAATCAACAATGACTAAATGACTGTTATATCTCATTTGAATTGAAAATAATATTTTCTGTTAAAAAACAACCATTGATAGGACTTGCCTTATTTGATGTGATTTTAATGTGATTTAATACAACTTTATTAAAATACAATATTATTTCATATTTATCCTCTAGCTGGTGTTACTATACTGACAGTTAAATGAAGGAGATGAGAAAATGAAAATAGACAAAATGAATATACTGTATAAGAAAAGTAATAAAATGTTATTCTAATTATAGTTAAATGAAGACAGAGACAAAAAAGGTTATACTTTAAGTTACAAAATTTCATTATAGGGCCAGCCAGGTGGCATAGCGGTTAGGTTCACGCACTCTGCTTCGGCGGCCTAGGGTTCACAGGTTCGGATCCCAGGCGCGGACCTGTGCACCGCTCATCAGGCCATGTTGTGGCAGTGTCCCACGCATTAAATAGAGGAAAGATGGGCACAGATGTTAGCTCAGGGAAAATCTTCCTCAGCAAAAAGAGGAAGATTGGCAATGGATATTAGCTCTTGGCCAATCTCCCTCACAAAAAAAAATTTGTGATAAACAAATTAAATGACCCAGTATCTAAAGTGCTTGCTCTAATGTGAAAAGCTATACTAAGCACTATGGGGGTGGAATATAAAAATGTTTAACATACAGTACCCTACCTTCAAGAAACTTTTAGTCCAGTGGAGTAGGCAATATATAATAAGGAAACACTGAAAATCAAATTACCAGGAACTTTTTGCTCCATAGACCCCTATGAACCCACAAGAAACAGATATAAGAAAGAAACTTTAAAGTCTAAGACGTTAACCATTCAGCCTTTCCAGACCACTTAATTTCTTTTTTGAAAAAAATTATTGAAGTATAATTTGCATAGCATAAAATACACCCATTTTAAAAGTATAATTAATACTTAAACTTACAGAGTTGTGCAACCAGCATCAAAAACCCAGTTTCAGAACATTTCCACTATCCACATCAAATTTCTATGTCCTTTTACAGTTACTGTTCATTCCCAGCACAAGCCCCAGGCCACCATTAATCTACTTCGTGTCTCTACAGATTTGCTTCTCCTGGACACTTCATGCGAGTGGGAATGGTAAAATTATGTTTACCTTTTTAAGAAATTGTCAAATCATAGTGTTTTGATTGTTGTTAGTTTCATTACAAATCCAGAAATCACGAAGTAAAAATCCTCTCCCTTGGTTCACTATCAAAATTATTTTGTTCATTCTGTGTCTTTTGCATTTCCATATAAGTTTTGAGGTTGGCTTGTCAAATTTTGTAAGATGTCCACTAGAATTCTGATAGGGATTACATTGCATTTACAAACCAATTTGGGGAGAATTACTATCTTACTATTTTGAGTCTTCTAGTCCAAAGCATGGACTACCTCTCTATTTAGATCTTTTAAAGTTTCCTTCAATGCTGTTTTATACTTTTCAAAATACACATCTTGCACTTTTGTTAAATTTATTTCCATACATTTACTATTGATGCTATTGGGAATGAAATTGTCTTTTTGATTTTTTGATTTATTATTGATAATATGTAGAAATAGAAGTAATTTTTGTATATTAATCTTGTACCACGTGACCTCACCAAACTCACTTATTAGTTCTAGATGATATTCTTGGTTCTTTCTCCCTGATTCCTTAGGATTTTCAGGATGTAGAATCAATTTGTCTGCCAATACAGTTTTACTTCTTCCTTTCTGATATAGACGTGTTTTATTTGTTTTTTTTGATAGAAGTGGCTAGAACCTCCATAAGTGGTTAGGGTGGATAACTTGCCTTGTTCTTGATCTTAGGTTGAAATCACTATGTCTGTTTTGTTACCCAGATCTCCTTGTTCAATTTTTGGCTGATATGTTGCTCACTCTGACCAGTGTCACAGTCCCAGGCAGCTGTGATGTTGGCCATTCCCAGTTTGCCACCAAGTTCACTATTACTTGCAACAATGCCCATGGGCATGGAACTTTTCCCTGGAGCCTCAAGTCGGGTAAACCTTTACCAGCATTGGCACCAAGGCTGCCGGTCCTCGTGGCTACCATGCTGCAGAGCTTGGGTTGATGAGAAAACCTCACATTAAACCATAGATCCTTGCTGTCCCTACCAATTGTTGTAGACAGCCTAATGCACCTCTGAAGATGTCTTATATCCTAATCTCCGAAACCTATAAACATGTTACCTTACAAGGACTTTGAAGATGCAGTTAAGTTAAGCATGTTGATATGAGAAGATGATTCTGGATTATTCAGCTGGGCTCAATGTGATCACAAGAACACATAAGGGAAAAAAGAGGCAGGTGGAAGACAAAGAATCCAAGAAGGGGATGAGGAGATGGACACAGAAGAAATACAGATGAAGGGAGGGAAAGAGAGACAAAGAGACAGAGACATTTGAAGATGCTATGCTGCTGGCCCTGAATACGAGGAAGGAGCCACAGGCCAAGAAGTCAGATGGCCCTCGAAGCTGAAAATGGAAACAGAGTCTCCCCTAGAGCCTCCAGGAAGAATGCAGCCCTGCCAACACCTTAATTTCCAAATTTCTGCCCTCCAGAGCTGTAAGAAATTTGTGTTGTTTTAAGTCACTAAGTGTGTGGTTATTTGTTACAGCAGCAATAGGAAACAAGTAGGATTAAGTTCCTTTGTTTTTGTTGTTCTTATTTTTAATAATTATTTTTCATTTAGTTTGCTTTCAGAGTTTTGAAATTTTGTTCTTTTTGTGTGAGGAAGATCGGCCCTGAGCTAACATCTGCCAATCCTCCTCTTTTTGCTGAGGAAGACTGGCCCTGGGCTAACATCCGTGCCCATCTTCCTCCACTTTATATGGGACGCCACCACAGCACGGCTTGACAGGTGGTGTGTCTGTGCGCGCCTGGGACCCGAACCGGCGAACCCCGGGCCGCCGCAGCGGCATGTGCGCACTTAACCGCTTGCTCCACCAGGCCGGCCCCAGAGTTTTGAAATTTTTTTAATCATTTTTTTTCCAGTTTATCATTGCTTTTTGGGAAGAAGATATGTCAAGTTCTCACTCTGCAATGCAACAGGTCCCACTCTGCACTGTATTTAATCCTGCTTTTCACATGTGGTTGTAATAGTCTCAGCAATATTGTAAAGTGCTTAATTTATAACAACTTGCTAAAAGTGATCATTCATTTGGAAATATAATCTAATGTAAACCTTTAAAAAAACTTAAAAAACAATAACATCCAAATTAATTTTTCATTTTTTCAAAAATACATCAAGTCACAATACATGTGAGAAAAACGAATATAATAATACAAATTCCAACTCTGTTCCATCATTAAAACACGAATTCATTTTATAACATTCAATAAAACATTCCTGAAGTATGGACATTTTATAACATGACTCTTCTAGAAACCAGTGGCCAATAAGTTTTCTTTTTTCATCATGGTTACTATGGGATCTCAGATTTCTAAAGTTCATTTGCTTTTCTTACAAACACATCTACTTCTGTTGGGTATATTTTTGGCATTTCAAACTTGAATTGTTTTTATAAGACACCAGCTCTGCTGACTCTGGCTGGAAAGAAAATGTTTTCCGATTAATTAGATGTTTGTGTTTTCTTATATCTTGCCAAATAATATATATTTAAAGAGAGAGAGTGGGAAAGGGGCAGAGAAGGTTAATCTTCACGTTCACCTACAAAACTTTGTCATATCAGAAGAGGGTATGAGTATAGTACGACAGTCTTAGAACTCTAGAACAGTGCAGCTCAAAGTGTATGTGTGTGTATGGACCATCCTCCATCTGCAAACTGGTCCTCTATGGGGTAAGTTCTGAAAGTGAGAGTATGCATTTAGAAATATTTTTATAGCAATTTATCATCAACTTAGTCATTTTATTATATTTTACAAAAGTTTCGGTTTACAACAGACAAGAGGAGAAAACTTCTTTCATCATAGGAAGTTTGACTATGAGAATCGCTGTTTAAAAGACATGGTGAAGGGGGGCCAGCCCAGTGGCATAGCAGTTAAGTGCGCGCGCTACGCTTCCGCGGCCCCGGGGTTCGCAGGTTCGGATCCCGGGCGTGCACCACTTGTCAAGCCGCGCTGTGGCGGCATCGCATGTAAAATAAAGGAAGAAGGGCACTGATGTTAGCCCAGGGCCAATCTTCCTCAGCAAAAAGAGGAGGATTGGCATTGGATGTTAGCTCAGGGCTGATGTTCCTCACGAAAAAAAAAAGACACAGTGAAGAATACTTTGACTGATTGTGAAGCCTGGGACAAAAAATTGGAAATTAAGACAAAGATCACTCTAACTTCTGGGAAAGCCCCCTGAAATAAAAGGGAAGTTGAAAGCAATGTTTGCAATCTTGATCTTGACGATGGCGTGGTGTTGAGGAAGAATGGTTAGGAGTGAAATCCATAATGATGTTATTTCTATGTCCTCTGGCATCATGAAGGAAGTTGTTCTAAGTTACCTACTATATGAAAATAGGAAGTCGAAAGACTAAGGTAGCTTTCGGGAGTCACAAATATCCATGGGAATGTGGAGATCAGACCACGTAAAGCTCTCACAGGGTCTGTAATCTCTTATGGGTGATGCTTCTCCAGGAGGGAGGGCCAATTTGTGGTGCACCAAGAGCAGAGGTGGGAGCAGCGCACGGAACTGCAGAGAACAGCTGGACAGCCTGACTTGTGGTTCTCAAGTGTGATTCCTTCTACGACCACAGTACTGGGGCACACGGCAGCGCCTCAGTGCTATAGGAGGTACTGAAAGCACACAACAGCACACCCCTTCTCAGAGGGAGAGGAAGTTAATTTTTCTTGATGGCGTGTAATTAAACTTATCATTTTATATTAAATTAAAATGATAATAAAACACATTTAAGAATGTTTTTAAGTTGGTCTAAGTCCTGCATTCCTGCTGTCTCTTCCCTTTCCTCCCTGTTTCCAGCCCTCTCCTTCCCACCCAAAAGCACACCCTTTTACAGTTACGTGAACTTTAGTGCAAATGTCTGAAGACTCTCATGGCCAAAGGCATGATGCAATGAGAAACAGGAGAGTTGATCTGGAAGCACAGGCTTCACGCCCTCACAACTCTGGTCTGGGGCTCTGGGAAAAAAATGACATCTACCCCATGACAGCGGGGACACACCATCCGAGGCTGGTGTGAAGAATCATGATTACATTCAATTTTCTCAACTTGAAGATGACCTTGTTAGCATATAAACAAACAATTTGATATCAGAATTTAATTATACTTTCCTTTTTAAGATCTTTAACGAAGCGTGGGGGAAAGGTTGCGTTCGATAAGAAATCACAAAGTGTGGAATCAAAAGAACTAAAGTTTGAGCCTTGATTTTACCTGAAATGTTTCAACTTCCTGCCCTTGGGTGAGTCATTTATCAGTTCCTTCATTTTTGAGGCAGAGAGGGCAGTATATGCTTTTTCTAGTTCATAGAGGCTCAAGTGAGTTAATATATGCCAAAGCACTCTACCAATAAAATATTAATACAAAATGATAGGTATCATTCTAATAAATTTTAGTGCCACTGGCATGTGTGTTATTATCTATGAAATGAGCCCTTACTCTTAAAATACTGGTTCAGAAATGTCAGAATCGCTTGTTAGTAGAGTAAAAGAGCCCTTCGAATTTTGGGATTTTCTTCTTCACTGTGGAAATCACTAAAGGACATGTTTTAGCTATAAACAGTTTTTTTTTTTTTCTTTTTGATGAGGAAGACCAGCCTTGAGCTAACATCTGTGGCCAATCCTCCCTTTTTTGCTCAGGAAGATTGGCCCTGAGCTAAAATCTGTGCCCATCTTCCTCTATTTTATGTGGGATGCCACCACAGCATGGCTTAATGAGCTGTGTGCAGGTCCGCGCCCGGGATCCGAACCTGCGACCCCCAGGCCACCAAAGCGGAGCTCACACACTTAACCACTACGCCACCAGGCCGGCCCCACATAAACAGTTTTTAATTGGAAAATTCTCAGACCAGTTTATCAATTTTGAGAAAAGAACCATTGTTGGTGTTTCTGAGGATGCTTTCTTCCAAAACATCTTTCTTTCCTGCCTGGGTTCTGCACAAGTAGAGAAATAAATAGTAAGATTTTACTATTGATGTAGGTATAATTGGAGGACATAGCTTGAAGTGAGAGAAAAATGGGCCATAATCACAGAACGCCAGAGCTGGCTGACCCCTACAGCCCCCCTCAGTCATATGTAGTGCTTCCAATTCAGGGACCAGCAGTGGATTCAGGCTCCCCACGGGCAACCCAAAATTTATTCTTTCCAAATATATCAATCAGATAAGACACTTAGCCCCCTTAGCAACAGAAAGTCCAAGAGTTGCTTAGGGAAAATACCCTTCCTCATGGAGGCAGGAATGCGGAAAGACATTTCTCTGTAATACTTCCCATTGAGGATTTAGGTTCATTTTAGTGAATAAATACGAATCCGTATTATACAGAAATGAATCAAGTCAGTGTGGCTTGTACCCCACTGAAAATTGGTCTCTTCCAACATTTTAGAAACCAAATATTTAAAAATTCATTATAAAAGGTAAAAAGAAAACCTATCAGGTACCATACTATAGATAGAACAAAAGGGATCTGTGTTAAGTGAATATGTGTGATTCACTATAGTGAATATATACTAGCATATATCACATATACTGTGCGTGTATATACATATACATATATACTGTGAATCACTGTATATACAATAACTGCAATTTTATTTTTAGTATTTGTAGACTCAGAAAACTATACAAAAATATATCAGATACTTTCTATTTTTTTGTGAGGAAGATTAGCCCTGAGCTAACATCTGTTGCCAATCCTCCTCTTTTTGCTGAGGAAGATTGGCCCTGGGCTAACATCCGTGCCCATCTTCCTCTACTTTATATGGGACGCCGCCACAGCATGGCAAGTCTGCTCCTAGGATCTGAACCGGCGAACCCCGGGGCTGCTGAAGCGGAGCGTGTGCACTTAACCGCTATGTCACCCGGCTGGCCCCGATACTCTTTTTTTTTTTGCCCACTTTTATCTTAAGGATAGGTATTTTATAATCAGAACCTTGAGCAGATTATCAACTCTGATGAGCAAAATGAAGACCCATGAATACAAAATACGTATTTCTCTATGTTGTAACCCTAGCCATCACATATCTAAGTTAGTATCTTCTAGAATTTTTATTTCAAAATAGGTACTTGTCTTGCCAACCAGAGCAGTACTTACCGATAACGTCCTTCCGAAGGCTCTGCTCACGCTCCTCTTTCCCTGCCGGAGACACCGCTCCACTTTCACTGCTCACCGATTTTGTCAGATCCTTCAAGCCCTTGGTTAGCTGCCACTTCTTCCACAGCGTACTCCCTGGTGGTGTGCTCTCTAAACTCATGGGGTTCTTTACGTCGGGCACTTTTGTGGCACTCGCAGATGTTTCTACCACGACACGACATGTGCGTTACTGAAAAAACTTGCATTCCATGAAATCACATACGAAATGTAACAGGGCTCGTGGGAGCACAGATTTGGAGCGGAAGACTCGAAACCTTTGCAACTTCTAACCACGGCGACAACAATCACTGGTACCTCAGAAGGGGACGTGGACGGCCCAGGCAGCCAGTGCGTCTGGAAGCTGCCTCGGGACGTGAAAACATCACGTAAAAATAGACGCTTTTTGAAGGTGAGATATTACAAATGGAAATGGGGTCTCTGAACCATTGGGCTGCTGTTAGGGCGGCCCCTGGAGGAAGGGAATCTATCCCATGTGAGAACTGTGCGTGGACAGGGTTCTCCCTTCTGGGAGGGGGGCCCTCTGTGTAGGCAATTGTCTAAAATTTTCTTAAAACAGAGCTGAAAAAGGCTCTTGCTTGTAAAGTTGCAAAGCTGGAAGATTTTTTCTTAACGTTATAATTCTATTCCCACTGTTCCAGATCCTTATGCCTACGAAAAACTGCACAAAACCTACCACGACTTCCACATTATACAGACGTTTCCCTCTATTTATCAATTGCAGATGATTTAATTGGTGCTATATTCTGCTTTGAATGAAAGGCAGTGATGGGCTAATACTTAAGAGCATGGAGAAATCTTGAAATGAAAGGCAGATGTTCAGTAGTCAAAAGTTGGTTCTTTAAACATAGTATTAAAATTGGGGCCGGCAGGGTGGCAAAGTAGTTAAGCTTGCGTGCTCCGCTTCAGCAGCCCGGGGTTCGCGGGTTCAGATCCCGGGTGTGGACCTATGCATCACTTATCAAGCCATGCTGTGGCAGGTGTCCCACATATAAAGTAGAGGAAGATGGGCACGGATGTTAGCCCAGGGCCAATGTTCCTCAGCAAAAAGAGGAGGATTGGGAACAGATGTTAGCTCAGGGCTAATCTTCCTCATCAAAATAAATAAATAAATAAATAAATTAATTAATTAAATTGATGCACTCCTAGAGCAAGACTGATTGAGGAAAAAAAGAGGTTAAAATGAAGTTTATTCTAGGAAGTTTAAATTACTTAAAATAGACAAGTTCCTTGTAAAACACAACTTACTAATCCCAACACAGGAAGAAATAGAACAGCTGAAGAGCACGACATATAGAGTACATACTGTATGAGTCCAAAACATGAAGTTCAGGAATAGGAAAAATTAATTCCTGGTGGTAGAGGTCAGACTAGAAGTTACCTTGAGGAAGGAAATGGCTGGGAAGGTGAAGGAGGAGGACTCTCGGGATGTACTAACTGTTTCGTGCCTTGATCTAAATGGTGGCTCCGGACTGTACACAAATGTGAAAACTCGTCATGCTGTGCAATTAAGATTTATGCCTTTACTGCATATGTTGTATGAGGAACTCAGGTTCCTCTGAGCCCTGTGCTTCACTGCGCCTCATCCTTGGCTTGTAAAAGATCTCAGTTTTAGCAAAGAATCCTGCTAAACCAGTTTATCAAGAACTCCCCATCCTTGAGATCAAGGTCCTCTTCCCCCACCCCCAATATTAATCAAGGTCCTCTTCCCTGAGCCTTGATACCTAACCAAGTTCCTCTGTGTAATTTTCCATCCACTCCCTCAGCCTGCCTGTTGGCTATCAGTCCCGCCTTGTCCCCGTTGTATTCAGAGTTGAGTTCAACCCCTCTCTCCTATTGCAACAGTCTTGACTCCTGTCACGATAGTCTTGAATCAAGTCTTCTTACCATTCTTTTTATTTTTATTTTTATTTTTCAGGTGAGGAAGATCGGCCCTGGGCTAACATCCATTGCCAATCTTCCTCTTTTTACTGAGGAAGATTAGCCCTGAGCTAACATCTGTGCCAATCCTCCTCTATTTTCTATTTTGTCTATGGGATGCCACCACAGCATGGCTTGATGAGCAGTGCGTAGGTCCACTCCTGGGATCCAAACCCGCGAACCCTGGGCCGCTGAAGTGGAGCACGTGAACTTAACCACTATACCACCGGGCTGGCCCCTTCTTGCCATTCTTAACAAGTGTCTAGGGAATAACTTTTCCTTTACATATAGATTAATATAACATTTTTAAAATTAAAAATAAAACCTGGAGCCTAAAGGATAAGAATCATATTCTATTCACCTTTGTATTGCTAACATAACATTAGACCCTATTGATTAGAGGAGTGATTACATTAGGAGTTAGGAGTATTTCAAATCCCAACTTGGTCACTTTTTAAATGTATGAATTGGGAAGAATAAGAAGACTCTCTGTGGGGCCAGCCTGGTGGCATAGTGGTTAAGCTCATGGGTTCTGCTTCAGCGGCCGGGGGTTCGCAAGTTCGGATCCTGGGCACGGAGCTACGCACTGCTCATCAAGCCATGCTGGGGTGGAGTCCCACATAGAAGAGCTACAACTCTACAAGTATGATACACAGCTATGTACTGGGGCTTTGGGGAGAAAAAAGGAAAAAAAAAAAAAAGGAAGACTCTCTGAGCTTTGGTCTCTTTATCTGTTAAATAAGAACAGTCATGTCTACCTCATAGTTGCTGTAGCTTAAAGTGAGATAACAAACATAAAGCCCTTTGAACAGTGCCCATCCCAGGATCACAGGATGAGGGTGATATTTGTGGTTTATCCTCTCCATAGGAAAAGTTAAGGGACATGATTTTTATAAAAGTTATTGAATTACACTCCTGAAGATGTCAAAGTGGAAAAGCACAATTTGGGATGTGAACGTCTTCAGCCTCCCTGGACAGCCTAGTGCGGTGATAGATGGAGGCAGCCACGTGGTTTTGAGAGGATGCTGGGGTGATGGAGAGTTCTGACCACATGCTAGCTCTGTCTCTGGGCATCTTGTGAGCTTAGCAAATTCCAGAGCAAATTACTCTGGGCCTGTGTCCTTATTGGTAAGTTGGAAATAATATTATATATCAGTGGGTGGATGTGAGTATTAAATGAAATAATTAGTGTTTCACAATTCCAGGCCCAAGGCAATCACTCAATAAAAGTAGTCAGCTTTATTACTGTGATTCTTATTGCTATTATTCATTGTTATTATTGCTAGAAAGGCACCAGATTTATAGTAGTAGGCCTGCCTTCAAGTTCGCATACTGATATCTTCTAACTAGGATGAACTGTTATTTCTGGCTTCAATTTTTCTTAAGTGGGGAAAATCTTATCTACCCGGGGCAAAAGTAAACATCTGCTTGGTAAAAAGAACACACTTCAGAATCTATTTTCTTACGGGATTATATGTGACTTTTTACAATCCTGTAAAAAATTAGATTCTGAAATGTGCTTTTGCCAAGCATGACTTGCTGATTGTCTTTTAAGAGGTGCAAGTAACAGCTCTGTGTTTGAGGCAGCTGGGGCAGAGTCAACTGACCTTCTTTAGTTTGACTTCCACACACGGGCAAACTCTCAGCATCAGGTGTTTTCTTAAAGAGCCGGTTGAGGTAACGTAGACGAGCCTGAGAAGCCTAGAGAACAAACACTATCAACAAAACAGTAGAGGAACAACATCTTAACAGTACTCAAAAAAACACCAGGGGTGCCAGCCCCGTGGTATAGTGGTTAAGTTCAGTGCACTCCACTTGGGCAGACTGGGTTCACGGGTTCGGATCCCGGGAACAGACATACACCACTCGTTGGCGGCCATGCTGTGGCAGTGACCCACGTACAAAATAGAGGAAGACTGGCACAGATGTTAGCTCAGGGCCAATCTTCCTCGACAAAAAAACCCAGGAAAATGTGAATGAATAGGGCAGTTAGAACCAGGCCAGCTCTTATTAATTATCAAATAAACTCAACTTCTGAACCATCTGTGATTTTGACAGTTATTTTGAGAACTAGTGAAGAATAAGTCCTAAAACCAATGCACTGGGTGTGCTATCTTAGATCCAGTTGCTCCTGAACCTTTTTTATCTGCCTCAATAACCCTGAGCTGGGACATGAAACACATACAAGTAATAATGTTTCACCACGGCAATGATTCTTACATAAAATATAGGGGGGAGGGAGACTTGAGGTATGTCGATTCCACAAGGAGACGCATATGCTTTTTATCTGAGGCTCTTTAAAGTACATAAAAGCACATATTATACGTTGTTATGCTTTCTTACTTGGGAGTGTGAAGGACAGATGTGGACACAGCCCCTGCTACCAGAAAGAATGAGGTAACCCACAGTTTGAGCTGATTAGTGGCACCATTGCGTGCTTCGCTTTGAAAGTGAGCCGGGTATCAGGAGGGTAACATTTCACAAGGTGTCAAAATGTGGCCTGACACTTAGTCCAGATCTGACAAAATTCCAGGTATCGTTCCTAAAGGAAAGACTATGGGGTTTCACCAACATGGCTCTTCCTTCAGACCATGCCCAGGAAGGAAAAGCGAAAGAACAACTTTTCAAACTCACGCGACCTTGACTGCTCTCCCTGGCTCAGCCATCTCCCAGGCTTGCTTCATGGCTCGGATTTCGTCTGCTCTTTCTGTGTCTTTTTTCACTTCAAAAATGTCTGCTTCACTGTGTTCAGAGACCAGCCTCAAAATCCAGTAGGGTTTATTTGGGTCTTCTGGTTGAGAGTGAGCAGTGGACAACTGATAAAATAAAATGAAAACCTTTGGGTCAGATGTTTTTCTCCTTTCAAATGGGTCTATATTTTACCTTGTGATCCATAATTTCACTATTAAGTGTTTACCCAAAAGAAATGAAAATATGTATTCACAAAAAGACCTGAACAAGAACATTCATTACAGCCTTATTCATAATAGCCAAAAAAAACGGAAACAATATAAATGTCTATCAGCTGATGAATGGATAAACAAATTGTAATACGTTCATATGATTGAATACTATTTAACATTAAAAAGTAATAATATCTCACAGAGAGACATTATACTGAGATGAAGTTGAGCACAAAAGAATACATCTTGCATGATTCATCCATATGAAATTCCAGAACAAGCAAAACTGTTGCCTGGGGGTGAGGTATGGGGATGACAGAATCCACTGCAAAGAGGTTGGAGGGAATTTCTAAACTTATAAAAATGGTCTAAAATCTATACCTTGATAGAGACGTGGGTTACATGTCAAAGTTCACTGATCTGTACATTTAAGATTGTTGCATTTCACTCTATGCAAATTTTACCTAAAAGCTGTAAACAAAAAAAATTCTAAATTACACTTAGGCTAACTCATAGCATCTCTTCACAAAAATGAGGGCAGGAATAGTGGATTATTTCCAAGTCTGGATATACTTGCTATATATTCATTATGAAAGTTAACGACATTTTGATGTCTCATGGGATCACTTTCATGGACCATAGGCTGGGAGCAGATTGACACAGGACTTCAAAATGTCTAGATACGTGAGGCTCATTCCTGGCAATCTGGCAGGGAGAAAGGCTTGAATCTGATGTGGTGACTAGCACTCTACGTAAGATGGACAATGTCAATTATCCATGTTAAATAACGCAGGTGAGGAGGCGGGGATTGGGGGGGGGGGTCACTGAATAAAGTTTTCACGTGCAGTTTTTTTTAATGTTACCAGAAAGATCTTCTAGATTTCTACGATATTCCCCTAATATTCTGATGAGAACTGAAATCTCACAATTGGAAATTCTTTCATTTCTTCCTTTTAAAAAACAGTACATAAGCTTTTCTCATCTTTCATATTGCTTGATAAATGAGTTAATCAGAAACTTCTCTGGGATCACATTTTGATCAGGGAAGGGAACACTGTGAAGGACTAAGGGAGGGCCATGTCTTATAAGAATTAATGGATTGAGTTAAGCTTATTTTAAATTTTAATAGTTTATTCTTGCTAATGATAAGAATATTTTCTAAGTGAATTCAAATAATTGATTTTATAACAGTGAATGATAAACTGAAGCTACACCTAGAAAAATTAACACACAGGATTATCTTGAAGTTTCAAGGGAAAAAAGTGGTTGATTGGAACTTCACCTATGTTTTTGAATCAATGTTGAAATAAGCAAATTTTGAGTAGAAAACTATATCTGGTTCTTTTATATTTCAAAGTAATAGTCCTTTGATAAAGAAAATTCCATTTTTCTGCATCTGTTTAGATGATATTACAATAAAAGGCAGCATTTGGATTGTAGAATGTAGTTAGTGAAAACATAGGTAATGTAAATTTAAGAAATTAGCATTTCCAAATGAAATAAAATCAATGATCAAATAAATTCAACATGATGGTGACTAAAGTGAAAATACAAAGTATATTATGATAATTTTCAGTTTCTTGTTTGGCACATATATTAATAAATTTTCGAACATCAAACTATAAAATACCAATATCCACTAAAACCAATGAGCACAATATTAAGATTCCTAAAGCTTAGTTAATTACTAATGAAATAAAAACCTAATTCCCATATGAATTCCGTAACCAAAAATACCCTTTGCGCTATGCAAGATAGTCCAAGGCCATCTTTTTCAGGATTCCCCAGAATTCATAAGTATTTCAAAGTTAACTCACGCTGAACCCCACAATTCTATATTAAATTTGGTGGATCTTCTAAATAGGTTTTCTTTTTTGAGAATATATGCATACATTTATCACAATTTTGAAAAGAATGGAAGGCCAGTTTTTAGTTTTATCCAATCATTAATTTTCTACAGAATTGTATTTTTCTTGACAATATTTTTTCAATACTTTTTGCAATATCTTTCACTTTTTCTTCATTTCTGTCTATGTACTTCAAACCTTCCAACTGCAGCTGATCCAGCTTTTCATTCTGACTTTCATCATCTAGAGGTATATTTTCACGTATTGCAGGACTCAATATAAAATAAGTGCCAGGGAGTAACAGATCATCAGGTATTACATGGACTTCTATATCTGTAGCACTGTTGATAACATTAGACAGTGTGGTTTTCAAGCTTGTGTATATCATGGTCTTTCTTACATACTCAACATCCAATGCAAAGGGATACTATGCACTCTAATGGGACGCCTGGCCAAAGACATTTACATTCGTGCATTGCTAATACTGAAGGGTTATGCAGAAGCAAACCTCCATCTTGATGAAGGTCATTTCCCAAATACATACTCTACAAAGTAGCGTGAAGCAACAGATGAGGCTCTAGTGACTGGCCACATTTTATACCAACAGCCTCCCAAACAATGAGAGTTGACTTCAGGAGAGTGACCATAGATTCTGAACCCAAAGCTTTCACCGTTATCCCTCTCTTTACCGTGGTACTTACTGCAGCTACCTTAGGACATGTGGGATTTCTTGCTGTGTCAATCATTAGCGCATATCCCATTCTATCCTTAAGAATATTTCCGGGCCGGCCCCGTGGCTTAGCGGTTAAGTGTGTGCGCTCTGCTACTGGCGGTCTGGGTTCGGATCCCGGGCACGCCCGGACGCACTGCTTCTCCGGCCATGCTGAGGCCGCTTCCCACATACAGCAACTAGAAGGATGTGCAGCTATGACATACAACTATCTGCTGGGGCTTTGGGGAAAAAAAGGAGGAGGATTGGCAATAGATGTTAGCTCAGAGCCGGTCTTCCTCAGCAAAAAAGAGGAGGATTGGCATGGATGTTAGCTCAGGGCTGATCTTCCTCACACACAAAAAAATAAATAAAATAAATAAGAATATTTCCCCACATTTGACTCATAAAGTGCACGGCTCCAGCTCATTATGACTGTTCCAACAATAACATTTTGTGAAAACACATGTGATGCTAATTTTCAGTCAAGTTCCTCTCATTCATCGAGGGGCGTATGAAACAATCCCAACATGAAGCTGATATGGCACCTGTGCTTACACCACAAATGCAATCAAAGAGCTGACAAAATGGCTTCTGCGTGAGTTGAACTGGTTCTTGCAGTATCTGGAGAGCAACCACATCCCTTGCTCATCCACCGTCGATTGTGAGAATTCGGATGCCTCTTTCTTGCACTGGAGCCACATAGCCAATTAAGGCCAAAATTTCTCTAACTGCAACTTGAAGAGTGCCATCCTTAATTTGTCCCAGTCGTAATAAATATGGAATAATTCTTTCCTCGGAAGCCACTCCTTTTCCCTCAGGAAGTTCTGGAAGATGAAGAGTCGGTTTTTCAACCCTATAAGTGCAGAGCTTTGGGTCAGTTGTTCTTAATGCTTGAACTAATGCTCGAGTTCAGTCACCAATACAGTAGTCCCCCCTTATCCGCGATTTCGCGGTCTGTGGTTTCAGTTACCCGCGGTCGTCCACTGGGAGCTTGGAACATATCCCCCGCAGATAATGGGGGACTACTGTACTCACTCTTGTGGTCACATGCTTTTGCTCTTCTGCTTTGTTGTTTTTGCTGACAGTCTTCTCAGCTTTAATTGCCTCTTCTTGTTCTGACTGAGCCTTCCGACTGAATCATACTTTAATTTGGAGACAAGTCCACCAATATAACCACCTACTGAAGCCTGTACACCTTCAGCGGGACAAGAAAGTAAGTTAGCAGTACTTTGTTTAGTAGAAACTGGAAAAACCTCAGATGTCCCACTGAGACTTGCAGGCTTATCCACAGTATAAAAAGAAGATTCTGAGCATGGATTCTTATCAGTCAAGATGCCAGAATATGGATAACTCATTTTTTTGTTTGTTTCTTTTTCGTGAGGAGTATTAGCCCTGAGCTAACATCTGTTGCCAATCCTCCTCTTTGTGCTGAGGAAGATTGGCCCTGGGCTAACATCTGTGCCCATCTTCCTCTACTTTATTTGGGACACCTGTCACAGCATGGCTTGACAAGCGGTGTGTAGGTCCACACCCAGGATCAGAAGCCATGAACCCCAGGTTGCCAAAGTGGAGCATGCAAACTCAACTGCTATGCCACCAGGCTGGCCCCCGATTACTCATTTTTTATTCTTCAAAGGTTTTATCTTCAGTTTCTGAATTGTCCTGGAAACATTTATTTTCCTTTTTTTGAGACATTTTCCCCTTACATTTGAAGTAGGAATTAATATGATTTGATAAAAAGTAGAATGATTCTCCAAATTTTGTGGTCATACCATTCGTGTATGAAAAAGGCTTTGCTTACCTCTACCTTTGTCTCTACCTATGCCATGACTTTTCTTTTCTGGAAAACTCTTTTCTGCTGATTTAGTACTAGATTTTTTCAGAAATTTTATGGTTTGTTTAATGTTTTTCTGTTTTAACCAGCCACTAACTGATACTTTTAGAATATTCGAGAACTTGGCTTAGGTTAAGCTAACCGTGAAATCATTTCATTCTGATTGCCAAAAACAGCCTTTGAAACAAAGTTCAATGTACTTTTAAGATGGGACATATGAACACTCACTCTTGCAAGACCCTTGGGAGCAAAAGTGCTAAGTTTCAAAATTCCAGTGTGTAAACCGTGGTTGCTTGGAGAGTAACAGTGCTTACTGCAAGCATCTACTTCACCTTGGGTCCATTTACATCTTATTTTGCTGATATGAAAACCTCTTTGTAGACTGATGTGACTTATCCTCCAGCAATATTTGGGTGAGCACAAGAAATGCAGTTGCTTGCTTCTCTGCTTCCCACAAAGACTTCTTGCATTATGAGATGGCAGGTTGCTCCTGCTAATGCAGCAGTGGCAACTTGCTCTTCCCAGCACTGATGTTGACCAGGGCCGGCCTGCGTCAGCTGAGCTTCCGACACAAACAGAAGAGCAGTAGCTCAGGGACCAGCCTGTCAGTTCCATCCCACCCCCAGCGAAAGTCAGCCTAAAGCTTCTTTACTTCACAATGTTTCCAAGGGTAGATTCCAACTAGGAAATTAAATCCTGGAAACGCAAGTGGACAGGTTTTTCCATTACTGAAGTCTGGGATAACTGATCATCATCTCTTCTCCTAATTTGTTAATTTTCCTTTATTGTCTTTTACTAGTCGTACCAACATCCTATTCAGTTAATCCATCTGCAAACCTGGGAGATATCCTTTGTTCTTTCTTGTTCCTTACCACCCACTCCAGATTGATAATTACATACCTCGTTTGTCTCCTGGATAATTCTTTGCCTTCTTCTTTTCTTTTGAATTATACTTGGTACACTATGCACTCTCCTGCCTGGACTACTGCTGTACTTTCTTGAATGGTTTCCCCATCTCTAGCCTTTCTCCTTTAAATTCATACCCTTATAAGCCACCGGGGTGTCTGAAATGTAAATCTGATCATGTCAATACACTTCTTAAATCCTCTACCACCCAACCCTGATTAGCCTAAGCAGTGATCACAAATGATGGGAAGATTTTGTCCTCAGAGGTATTTTGTTTTGACTTTAGTGTTTTTAAATAACTTGAATTTGAGTATCTCTAGGCCTGTGCTTGAATTCCTCAAATTTGCCACCCACATTCTCTTCCTGATCTCTAATCATTGTAATCACCTAACTGACCCTGAAGGAATTTGGAATCATGACCTCTGGGCTATAGATCAAATCCCAGCCTTCCAATGAAGCTTAAAGGCCTTCCCCTATCTGACATTTACTTACCCCTCCAGCCTCATCTCTCATATTTTAATGCTTCAAAAAACAGATTGTGTTGGCTTTTGCCTTAGAACGTCTTTGCTCATTGACTCAGTTCAAGATTTGACTCCTCTAGGAAGAGCCTGGAATAGGTACCTATTCTTTCTACCACTACACATACTATATCCAACATTAAAACTCTCAGTTAGCCTTCAGTTTCCTCCACTAGATTGTGAGTTCTTTGAAGGTGCAGACTGTATAATATTAATATTAGAAACCCAAACAGTGTCTTACCTACTTAAAGTTCAACTAATGCTTTTTGATACTAAACTAGGGAAGGCAGCTTGCAGAAAGTGTCCAAGAAATGTCCTTAAGGTGTTTAGATGGTTGCTGGAATCAGAGACATGGGTATTTTTACTTTTGTTCTCAGGGGAAATGGGATCCAATGAACCGATATTTATTAAGCGACTTCAGTAAGAAAAAGTACCACACGCACCTGAGGCTCAGAGCGAGGTGCTTGTTTTTCTTTGGCTGTCTTTTCTTTCTCGGAAGACTTTTCTTTGCCTTTTCTTGTTGTTTTGGAAGTTCCTGAAGATTTCTGACCCTCACTGATAGTGTGGGAATCTGGGCTTCCCAAGGTAACTGATGATTCCTCAAGTTTCTCTCCATGACCTAGAAAGACATAAAAACAGAAACCAGTGAGTCATAATATAACAATAAAATCATGTCATATAGGAACAAAGGAAACAAATCATGAAAAAGTGGTTAGTCTAACAGGTTTGGATTTCTTTTCTTTTTTTAAACAGACAGACAAATCTTCTATAAAGATTTGTGTGACTCTCTTTTATGAAATTGAGAAATAATTCACATACTATAAACTCACCATTGAAGTGTATAAATAATTGGGTTTTAGTATACTCATAAAGTTATTCAAACATCACCATTATGTAATTCATTTCCAATCTGGATGCTTTCAGTTCATTTTCGTGCCTAATTGCCTTGGCTAGTATCTCCAGTACAATATTGAATTCATTTATCTCTGCTTCAATATTTATCATTCCCTTCCTTCTACTTGCTTTGGGCTTAGTTTGCTCTTCCTTTTCTAGTCTAGTTTTTTAAGATGGAAGGTTAAGTTATTGAGATCTTTCTTCTGTTTAAGTGTAAGCATTTATAGCTATAAATTTCCCTCTTAGCACTGCTTTCCCTGATTCCCATAAGTTTTGGTACATTGTGTTTTCTTTTTTATTCATCTCTAAATATTTCTTAGTTTCTCTTATGATTTGTTCTTTGATCCATTGGTTAAGAGTGTGTTGTTTAATTTCCATATGTTTGTGCATTTCCCAAATTTATTTGTTACTGATTTCCTTCCATTGTGATCAGAAAACATACTTTGTATGAGTTCCATCCTTTTACATTTACTGAGACTTGTTTTATTGCTTTACATATCATCTCTACTGCAGAATGTTCCAAGTGCACTTGAGAAAAATGTGTATTCTTCTGTTGCTGAATGGAGTGTTCTATAGATATCTGTCAGGTCAGGTTGGCTTATAGTGTTGTTCAAGTTTTCTATTTCCTAACTGATTTTATGCTTAGTTTTCTACTTATTATTAAAATTGGGGTATTGAATTTCCAACTATTAATGTCGAATTGTCTATTTCTATCTTAAATTCTGTCAATTTTTGTTTTATGTATCTTGAACTCTGTTTTTAGGTTCATATATGTTTATAATTGTTATATTTCTTGATGGATTGACTCTTTTACTATTGTGAAATATCCTTGTCTCTAGTAAATTTTTTTTGTCTTAAAGTCTATTTTGTCTGCTGTTAGTATAGCCACTCCAGGTCTCTTTGGTTACTGTTTGTATGGTATTGCTTTTTCCATCCTTTGAGTTTCAAACTATCTGTATCTTTGAAACTAAAGTGTCTCTCTTGTAGACAACACGTAGTCAGATCATGTTTTTGTTATCCCTTCAACCAATCTATTTCTTTTAACTAGAAAGTTTATTCAAATTAAATTTAATGTAATTACTGGCATGGTGATTTATGTCTGCTTTTTCACTATTTCTTTTCTTATATGTCTTATCTTTTTTTCTTATATTCTTCCATTACTGTCTTCTTTTGTGGTAAATAAATATTTACTCCTATACTATTTTAATCTTGTTGTGTTTTGTTTGTTTGCTATATATTTTTGAGTTATTTTCTTAGTGGTTGCCTGGTGATTACAATTAACATCTTAATTTATAACTATCTAGTTTGGAATAATACAATTTCTATAGTATACAAACTCTTTGTTCTTATATAGTTCTGTCTCCCCTTTATGCTGTTATTATCACAAATTTAGTCTTTATACATGTTGTGTGCATTTACACAGATTTATAATTATTGCTCTATGCTGCTGTCTTTTAAGATTGATAGGAGGGAAATCAGAGTTACAAACAAAAAATACATTTGTATTGATTTCTATATTTACCTATGTAGTTACCTTTACTGGTGAACTTAATTTCTTCATGTGGATTCAAGTTACTGCCTACTGTCCTTTTATTTCAGCCTGAAGGACTTCCTTTAGTATTCCTTGTAGGGCAGGTTTGTTAGTGACAAATTTTCTCAGTTTTTGTTTTCCTGAGAATGTCTTAATTTCTCCCTTATTTTTGAAGGATAGTTTTTCTGGATATAGAATTCTTGGTTAATCTTTTTTTCCAACTCTTTGAAAATGTCATCCCATGGCTCTGGTCTCTTTAGTTTTTGATAAAGAATCTGCTGTTAGTCTTATTGAGGATTACTTGTATGTGATGAATCACTTCTTTATTGCTGCTTTCAAGATTCTTTGTCTTTGTCTTTAGACAGTTTGATTATGATGTGTCTAGCTGTGGATCTCTTTGAGTTCATCCTATTTGGAGTGTGTTTAGCAAGTTGAATGTGCCAATTGATATTTTTCATCAAATTTGGGACAATTTCAGTCATTATTTCTTCAAATAGCCTTTCTATGATTTTCTCTCCTTTCCTTCTAGGGTTCCCATTATGTATATGTTGGTATACATGATTGTGTTCCACAAGTCTCTGAGGACCTGTTCCTGTTCCTTTTTCTTTATTCCTTCATTTTTTCTTAATGTTCCTCAGATGAATAATCTCAATTGAACTATCTCCCATCTTGGGGAGAAGGCTTTTCACTGAGCTGATTTTGAGTCAGCCCTGCAGTTGACGTCTTCCAGGATATCAACAGACAAGTCAAATAATAATGAGTCTTTGCGAATGAGACTTTAAAAGAGATCCAGTTTCATTTTACTCTCTCTGGTGTCTGCCTACCTGCACCAGGAGGAATATAGGCTGTTATTTTTCAAGGCTACTGCTGAGCTGGAGATCAGGGGATGAGACTAGGACAAGTTAAAATGCCATACAGCTCACTGTTTTTAAAGAGATTGGGCTGTTTTTCTTTAACACAACCTTTGCTAATTTCCAGAGTTCTGAAAAAGTTGATTCTGATCATTTCTGCAAGTTTTTTTCATTGTTTTTATGGAGGAGCTAGTTTTCAGAGTCCTTACTCTGTCATTTCCACTGATGTCCTGCTGGACTTGTTTTCTTGTCTGAACCTCCTGAGTTATCTCTGCATGCTGTTTGTCTGGGGAAGAGTCCTGAGAGAATGGAGAATTCACATAGGCTGGATCTCTCATAGTTGCCTGGAGACCTTGTCATTACAGCATGGAATTACAAAAATCTCTGTGGAGGAAGGTGAGATTCCATTCCAAGCAGGTCAGCTCTTGAGTGTGACAAGTAGGACAAGTCAAAAATGGACTGATTTAACTTGTGAGTGGAAAAGTGAGAAAAATGAGACCACAGAAAGAGAATAAGGTTATTTCAATGAGACGAAGGACATGGCATAAGGGTAGAGATGATGAGCCACAGAAACTGGATAAAGAAGAAAGAAGAAATGAAGACAAGGATTTTCATGGGAAGCCATACAGTAAAATCACCTTTTATCAAAAGTTCAGGATAGAAAGTAAGAAAGGCTGCAGAGAACACATTTTCTCCTTGGTTTTTTGGCATCCTTTGCCAGCCAAAAACTTTGAGGTTGAAGAAACGTTGCTTGCACAGAAATGGAAGCCCATGTATTTCTTTTTTTTTTTTTTATAATTTTATTTATTTATCTTTCCCCCAAAGCCCCAGCAGATAGTTGTATGTCGTAGTTGCACATCCTAGCCCACGTTATTTCTGCTACTTCCTTCCAGAGTCTCCTCACGCTGCCCTGCTTCACAGAGATGGGGCAGCACCAGTCTTCATCTTAAGCCCATCTTATGAGGTAACTGGGCTTCAACCAGTTTCAGTGGCCACCACCACTACCTCAGCTTCTTGCCCCAGTAAACCCAGGTCCCAGAGACCTTACTGCCAACAGAGTCAGGAGCTAACTGTATTTTAGAGTTCCACCTGTGGCCAGCACTAGATAATAGTACCTCATAAAAACTAGGGTAGAAGAATTCGTTCTTTTCACCTTGTACTGCCAGACAACTTTGTTTCCAGTACTGTGGTGCTTACTGTAATGCAGAAACTCACAATCCTGGTGAATGTATAAATCACCCAGGGAGCCTGTAGGATGTAGATCTCGAAGCCCAAACCCCAGAGATCCCAACTCCTTAGTCTGATAGGGGAGCCAGGAATTTACATTTTTAAAAACTACCTCAAGTGGTTCTAATTCAAGTGGCCTGTGGATCATACTTTGAGAAATACTGCTTTAAGAAATGTATACAGTTTCCCTTTTGTTTGAAGCAAGTGTTGCAAAGGGATGGGCTGAAGGGAAGAATATCAATGATTTAGAATTCAATGAGGCTGAGGGTCCCTCACAAGAGTGGTTCTCAAACTTTAGCCTGCATCAGCATCACCTGAAGGGCCTTGTTAAAAAATAGATTTCTGGGCACCACTCCTAAAGTTTCTGATTTATTATGTCTTGGGTGGAACCCCCAAATTTGCATTCAAGTTCCCAGGTGGTACTGAGGCTGCTATTCCAAGGACTGCATTTAGGAGGCTGTAATTACCTTTGCCCAACATGAAGAGATTTGCCTTATGTTCTATTAATTATTTCTAACGACTAAATACCCAATGGCAGGGGAACTAATAATATTTGTTCAATCCCTACTATGTTTCTTTCTCTTTGAATTCTCAAAGCATCCCGCAGGGCAGATTCAGAGAGGTTATGTAATTCACTCAGGTGCTCTCAACTGGTAAGAGTTGAACCAGCATTCAAATATAAGTCCAAAGGACATGTCAGACCCTTTTCAGTCAGACTCAAAATTGGAGTCTTGTAAGTCACTCCTTTAGCAAAGTAAAATAGTAATTGTAAAGAATCCAGATCTTATCAGTTGCTTGCTGCCCATTATTAGCTACTTTCAAATTGGAGGCAGATCATCCTGCATGACTGCAAGGGGCCTCTAAGCACCGCAATTTTACAAGGGGACAAATTGCCTTTCTGCCAACAATGCCAGCTGCTGAGAAGTGTTGTGCTAGGGAAAATCCTTTGGTCAAATAATCAAATGACTTGCAAGTGAATCCTGGACCAGCCACTGGATAGGTTAACTTTGGCAGGTTTATTACATTCTTTGATTTTGTTTCCTTCTCTGTATAATGGAGATACTAACACCATGCCCAGAGGGCTTAAAATAATCCATATGGAGCATTGAAAATAGG